AGTGGCTCCGTCTTCTCCTTCTTGTTCTTCTTGTGCACCTCCTGTTGAACAAAACCATTAGTCTCTGTTCCTCACTGCTGCGTAAGGCTCATCAGAATGCACAACATGGCTCTGCTTCTGTCTGCACGAACAAAAGTGACTCCTGTTTCCCAGAATCCTTAGCGTTTTTTTTTTCATCCTACTAAGAAGAATGTAATGCATGTAGTCATATTGGTTACTTGAGCGTAAAGGTGACCCTAAGTAGGAGAGAGGAGTCTGATGAAATAGGTCCACATAGCCATAGTTTACTTTAAAGGTGGACGGTGTAACTTTCTATTAGGAGTGAGACGTTTAGTCTGGAATGTTCCTAATCTGTGTATCATTTGTTCATTCGTGTTTCAAAATAAAACCAAAAATAAGAAATAGTTTTGTTGTTTTTTTTCAGTTTTCGATTTTATGTTTAAATGAATAATGGAAATACTGGGCCAGACCAGGACTGAAAATCAGGACCAGACCGGGACCAGACCAGGACCAGACCGGGACTGAGACCAGGATCTGGTTTAGTCTTGGTTCAGTTCTGGTTTGGACCTGGTTTAGTCCTGGTTCGGCCCTGGTTTCAGTCCTGGTTTAGACCTGGTTTAGTCCTGTTTTAGTTCTGGGATCAGTCCTGGTTCAGTCCTCGTCCTGGTCCCGGTCCTGGTCTCAGTCCTGGTCTCAGTCCTGGTCTCAGTCCCGGTCTGGTCCCGGCCTCAGTCTTGGTCTCAGTCCCGGTCTCAGTCCTGGTCTCGGTTCCGCTCTCAGTCATGGTCTGGTCCCGGTCTGGTCCCGGTTTTGTTTCGGTCTCAGTCCCAGTCTCAGTCCTGGTCTGGTCCTGGTCTCAGTCCTGGTCTCACTCCCGGCCTGGTCCCAGTCTTAGTCCTGATCAGTCTATGCGAGCGCACTTCTGGGCCCGTCCCGACACTCCTGGTTCAGTCCTGGTTAAGTCCTGGTTCAGTCTTGGTTCAGTTCTGTTTCAGTCCTGGTTCAGTACTGGTTTAGACCTGATTTAGTCCTGGTTTAGTCCTGGTTCAGTCCTGGTTCAGTCCGTATGCGGCGCAAAAGTTCGGCATCGCAGGTTAAGTCCAGAAACAGGAAATGGCCTTTATCCGTTTTTTTTCCATTATTAATTTAAACACAAAATGAAAAACTGAAAAAACAAATCGTTATACGTTTTTTCCTTTTGGTTTTGGAGACAAATAATGAAGAAAATTGTTGATTTTTTTCGTTTTCTTGTTTTTGGTTTTACTTTGAATGATGAAGGAACAAATGACACACAGATTGTTCCTGACTATGGCACTACCTGTAACCATCTTACATTTAACCAGTTACTGCTGGATTTATCACTGAGAAAAATGCCACTCCAGATCTGAGCTGTAATTCGGCCTAGTGGCGTCGCCTGTTTGTTTCCATGGAGATAACCTATGTTTAATGTCATACTGTGTAACATTCAAGGCACAGCAATAACATCTCCATGTAAATAAGCAGGTGACATAGTGCATCTTTAAAAAGGGCGACATTTACATAAAAAATCTTTGTTTTAACATGGTCAGCTCAAGATCTCATCTAACATTTATCTAGTCTAAATTAGAGCTGCTTGTCTACGTGGAAATGTGTATCATTATGTGGAATGTTCCAAAGTATGGCATTAAACATTTTCCATTGTCTTCCTTATGACCTCTTTGTTATAGCTGATGTTTTTTATTGCTTATTTTCTATTTTATTTTGACTTGTACATTAACATTTACATAATTACGCCTTATTTCACACCTGTCTCTTGCTCTTTTTTGCTGCTTATTTAGAATTTATTATTCCCATTTATTTTTTTCCCATTTATTTTTTTACTGTTTGTTATTATGTTATATTGTGATGTGTGAGCTACTGTGTCCAAATCATTTCCCTTGTGGATCAATAACAATTGTCTAAGTCTAAATCTAAACGTATCTATCTCGCATTTAATCAATAATTTTATGGCTCAATAATCCACTGAAAACATTATTTCTGTGAGCTGCTTGTCGCCATGGAGATAGATAAAGTTATATTTAGTTATATCTGCATTCTTCCAAACAGAAAACACTCTATTCCATCTTGTGATGTCATGCGGTAATACAGGAAGAGTGTTTTTAAACTGTGTTTTTAATTCCACACACCTTCACTTGAATAATTTGAATCATTTTAGTCCTGCATTTACAAACTATACAAGACAAAAGGAAGAAGGTAGATGTTAACTTGAAAACTACCACGTCATGACATGACAAGTTGGAACAGAACATTTTGGATTACTCAATCATGCGTGAAACAAAACAAAACCCAACTGTAGGTCTGTTTTTGGTGAGGTAACAACATTTTAACATGGCTAAACGCTCACAAGAGTCAATTTTGCATAATATAAGACCATAAAGTGTTTCTTATCCAAATCTTCCCTTTTTAAAATTTTGGTACATTTGTATTGCTGTTTTAAATTAATTGAAATTACCTTTATCTTGGCCGTTACATTCTTGACCGGTTCAACCATGAAGTGAAAGCACTGCATCATCATGCCTGGAGAGACGCGCACCTCTGCAGAAACAAAAAACACAAGTTACCAAACCGTCTTTACTAAAAACACGTCCCCAACTTCTGCCCTTGACACTAAAAACACCAAAATAACTCATTAACTCAACCCACATCCACCCCGTAATCGCTTTCTGTGTTTATCCTAGAAATAATTAAACGCGCAATGGAAACTATCTGCTCTTGCAATCTTAAAACACAACATCTGAGTGACCTATATTATTAGTAACTGTAAACACGCTCTTATAAAACGATAACTACTAGACTACTATCTGCCCACGAAATCTGAGCAGGTAGAAAACAAATGAGCGAATTCTGTTTTGGGTTGGCGTGATGGGAAACAGGAAGGGTCACAGTTTTCATGCCGGCTCAAAGTCAGGTCTGTAAACAGATTGCGTTCACGTCGAATTTGATGATGTCGTGATTTCAGACGGAGGGGAGAGGTCTGTTTGACTCTGACGTCACCAACTTTCCATGGGGGTGTGACGCTAACTGTACGCACTGCTCCGTCTGAGGCTTTGTCTGAGTTTATTTGACTTAGCTGGAACTACGACGCTTGAAATGATTTGTTCTCTTACGCATAAAATTACAGTCACTCTCTCTCTAAACAACACCGTGAACGCTCGTATTGATTTATTGATAGAGTTTTTCGACTTAAAATGCATTTGGCTGCGTTTGCTGATGTGTACACTGTGTCCCCATGGTGACTGCTGAACATTCCGCCATTGATATACATGCAGAACATCCCCAATGTGATGTCACGACAATATCAAAACTTACAGTCTGCATAATGTTGACGTTTATCGTTATTTTTATGGATTTAGGAACAAACAAGGGCTAAAACGTGTCTAAATTATGCAATAATTAAGTTTAAAAAAATAAATTTCAACACTCTATGAAGGTTTAATCTGCAGTTCCTTTCACATTGTTTGCCTCTTCATAAAATGGAATTTTCTGCAGGTTTGGTAGGTGGATTTTCTATTTCAGCATCACCGCTACTTCCTGTGTCTTTACACTTTTCTTCTCACCTTTTTTCCCACCAACTGCTGCAAATTTTCTGTGAAATTATGATAAATATTTACCACAGGTACAATCCCCAGATCGAGAAATAATTAGGAAAACAGGAAAACCTTTTGCGTTTTAAGTTCTTTCAAATGACAGTAATCATGCCTTCAATAATGCTCCACTTTCTGAAACCATTGTGAAAAATGAGTTCACTTTTATTTATTACAATCTTCTACATCTTTGGTGCATAATTACTGGGATATTAATCATGAACTAGGACAACAAATCTGCAATCTAGTTTAACACCAAATTCCTCCAGCTCAATTTTTACTGTAGAGATCCTAAAATTTTGTAATGTCACGTGAACACAACTTACTCCTGAAGAAAAATCTTATTATAATTGATGTGCAAATGTTATTATTACATATTAATTGCGCACTTTTAATAATAAGGTAACAGTTTTAGCACGTAAAGTAGGGTACAAGCCTAGAACATTGGACCAAAAAGAAGGAGGAAAAACTGATATTTAATTATTTATGGCGTGGGAAAACATGACAAAGCATTTTCTTTGCGCCCCACTTCACGGCAACTGCGCAGGAGGTCTCGTGATTAGGCTGCGTCAAATAAAAAAGATCTTAGTTACTATTACGCACGTTTTATCCACACAAACATGATTTATATAGCTGTATTTCCTGCATTGGTCGCGCGATGATTAACAAATGCATGATCGGTTGTGTTGCATTTTTGTCGTGCTTATAACTGGCTCAGAGATAGGGCTAAGTCTTACCTATGTGTGGAGTTTTGAAGAAGTAGTTTGGTCCTCTTCTTGTGCAAAAAAAAGCAACCTGTCCCGTAAAGTGTGCACACGGGCGGTCTGCTGCAGTGTCTGACCTTGTTTACATCGCAGACTTGTCCTCGGCTGTTCGGGGAGTTTCGGCTGTTTCCGTAAGTGACGCAACGTAAGTCGAGCGCGTCACAGAGCGTCGTGGGCGTGCGTGAGTCCCACTGTACGCCGCTGCAGAAAATTACTGCTAGTCCGTGCAATATTGTCTGTACTTGTTGCAACAGTGCAGTTTTAGCCATTGTGGTGAGAAATAAAGGCTCAGAAATTGAGAATTGTGTTTTCTAAAATTACAAAATGCATTTATTAGAAATTCTTCAGCGACATAAACCCGGTGTTTTAAATAAGTGATGTAATTAGAATGGCAAACATGCATCGGTGCTCAAAATAACACAGAGAAACTAAATATTTACATTGCATTTTTTTTTTTTTTTTTTTTTTAGAAAACAACAAAAAATCAGTCTGACATTCTGACAGATTCAAGTAAAGTTTGATTGAAAAACAAGATTTAACAGATTTGTGCTTTACCATGTTAAGAAAGTATTAACAAGTAAGAAAGATAAAAAAAATAGTCTCTTTTTAAAAAAAAGACTCTTTGAATCCCTTAATTCAGTCAGGGTTTTCCCACCAAGTCTTTTACGCCAGATGCCCTTCCTTAAGGACACAATATGGCTACAATCCAGTGTCTTGACCACAGACTGTATAAGGAATTGGGCCCGTCACCCATAGTGTTCAGTTCCAGTCAAATGAAACTCATCGATGCTTGCCAGTGGTGTAGTGGTGATTTTTTACGTGGAGGTACATGATTCGTGACTTCATCGATGTGACCAAAATTATTCAGAATCATGTTATTAACATTAACGCCGTTCATAATCATCTACAGAAAAATAAATCATAGGCTACAACACATGAACCAGGATTGAACCAGGACTAAACCAGGACTAAACCAGGTCTAAACCAGATCTAAACCAGATCTAAACCAGGACTAGACTAGAACTAAACGAGGACTAAACCATGACTAAACTAGGACTATACCAGGACTGAACCAGGTCTAAACCATGTCTAAACCAGGACTAAACTTGGACTAAACCAGGTCTAAATCAGGTCTAAACCAGGACTAAACCAGGAGTAGACCAGGACTAAACTAGGACTTAACCAGGACTAAACTAGGACTAAATCAGGTCTAAACCAGGACTAAACCAGGTTTAAACCAGGATTATACCAGGTCTAAACCAGGACTAATCTTGCACTTGAGAGCGAGAGAAAGAACCCCGAGCCTGTGGAGCAGGATGCCCACAAAGCCCCCCATTTAGCCTCGTGGGGTGCGGAACTCTGTGCCGGTATTTTCACCTGCGGTCACCTGATGGTCTACGTGGGTGCACCTCTGGGCCTCTCCCAATACTCAGTCCTGGTTCAGTTCTGGTTCAGCCCTGGGATCAGTCCTGGTCTTCATGTCTCAGGTCATTATAGGACAGTCCTGCAGATATCATGAGCCTATGCAGTTTGTTTTCACCATTGCCCAGTTTGACTTTTAAGTTGTAGCTATTTTAAATTTGTTATTTTTTTTATATCTCACACTGGGAGAAGTGGGTGGATGGCGTACCCCCGTGTACCACGCCCACTACACCCCTGATGCTGGCAGTTATGGGGTGAATTTGGAGCCACATTCCATATTTGGAATTCCGACCGTGAGTATCATAGCAACCAAAGAGCAATTCGGAGTGGGGCTGTTGAAGGTAGCAGGGAGAAGCGGTTCGCAACAGTGTCAGTCAAACCTGTAGCTACTGGGAACAATCTAAGGGAAAAAACGCACCTGATTTGTCTGGTATTAATGTTCATGTCTTGATTATAGACAAAATAGTGACATAAAAAAAAACTGGGTCATGTAGAGAGGGTTAATATGAACATTTTAAGACCAAAATAACAAGTCTGACAGCAGCAGTTACAGAGACAGGGATGGCGTTTTTTCAATAGAATGTGAATTGGAGCCAGAGTCGATGGATCCAGAAGCACATCCATGCTCACTTCCTATTTCGAACATGGCATGTATCAGGTTAGCTACTGTATTTTCCGCACTATTGGGCACATTCATAAGCCTCCAAACTAGGGTGACCATATTTCCTTTTGTGAAAACCCGGACAACCCTCGACATTGAGCTACTCTTACCTCACAACTTGTGCACATGGCCTCCCACTTGTCTCGACTGGGACAAAAAACGGAGAATTTCTTTTACAAGTCATCGTTAAATGTGCATTTGCGCTTCAGCGTGTTGCAGGCTGACCGTTGTGTTTGCTCGCTCCTTCTGAGTGTACAGAGCGCTACGAGAGACGTTCAATTTAATGGCCCAATGAAAGATCATGAAAACCCGGACATTTACATCACTTTATGAAACCGCGGACACCCAGGACAAGACGAAAAAACTGATATGTCCGAGGTAAAACGGACGTTTGGTCACCCTACTCCAACCCCATCAAAAAAGCGCCCTATACATGAATCCACTCGGGTGTCCCAGCACGGCTTCAGTAAACTACAAAGCCGCACCACCCGCAGCGCACGCAAACACACACGGAGCAGACAGCGACCGCGCGGCGAAAAACTCCCGCAGCCACACTCATCACTCCACGCCGACGAGGAACGGAACGGACGAACGAACCGAAAAAGTGAGTGCAATGTGCCACTTCTAGACACGACTGAACAACTGAGTCACTGCGAACACGCCGACAATCCAGCGGTCCCAGACAGCACCCTCCCTACACGCCACAACTGAACAAAGCCCAGAGTCACTGTGAACGCCACAAACAAAGTCTCACTGACCCATCCAACTGTTGTGTTTCATTTAATGCGCCTTAAAGTCCGGTTTATTTGTGAAAACATTTTGAAAATAGACCATTCAATGACAGTGTGCCTTATAATCCAGAGCGCCCTTTAGTGTGGAAAATACGGTATGTCCATTTATACAATCTATGGTCTTTGACACAATGAACAGTATGGTTGAGGTTTGAACCAGTTACCCTCTGGTTTGGTGGCTGACCTCTTTACCCACTGTGCCACTGTAACCCCAGTTTAGTTTTTCAGTTTTTAAAATGTTCCACTCCTTCAGTCACTTCTAAAAGTATCTTCAAGTATTCAGTTCATATTTTAAACAGTTCAGTCCTGTCTTTGGTTCTTCTTTGGCTCGGTTCTTCACATTTGTAGGCTTCGGGGGGTAAAACAATTGTCCGTGTTGCCGTCGGGCGCTGGGGGATTGCAGTTTTGATGGTCGTATCCCCCGTTTGTGTAACTCATGTGTGAATCTGTCATGTCCAAACTCGATGAGCTCATGTTGTATGGGATCTCCACAGAATGCAGAATACTTTCCTCATAGGACGGAGGAGGCTGGGAACAGACAAGAAGAATGAAATTATAAAAATGAATTAATTTGGAAAGTTATAATCAAATCCGTGTATCATTCGTTCATTCGTTTTTCAATATAAAACCAAAAATAAGAAAATGAAAATACTTTTATTTTTATTATTATTTGTCTCTAAAACCAAAATGAAAAAACAGATAACGATTAATTTTTTCAGTTTTCGATTTTGTGTTTAAATGAAAAATGGAAAAAACGGATAACAACCGTTTACCATTTATGTGATTTAAACTGCAATGCCGGACTTTTGCGCTGCATATTGACTAAACCAGGACTAAACCGGGTCCGGGACCAGACTGGGACCAGAAAAGGACTGAGTCTGGGACCAAGACCAGGACTGAGACCGGGATCAGACCAGAACTGAGACTAGGATTGAAACTGGGAACAGGACCTGGACTGAGACTGGGACCAGACCGGGACCAGACTGAGACCAGACCAGGACTGAGACCGGGACCAGACCAGGACCAGACCAGGACCAGACCAGGACCAGACCAGGCCTGAGGCCGGGACCAGACGAGGACCAGACCATGATTGAGACCAGGATCAGACCGGGACCAGACCAGAACTGAGACCAGGATTGAGACCGGGAACAGGACCAGGACTGAGACCAGGACTGAGACCGGGACCAGACTGGGACCAGACCAGGACCAGACCAGGACTGAGACCAGGACCAGATCAGGACCAGACCGTGATTGAGACCAGGACCAGACTAGGATCAGACCAGAACTGAGACCGGGATTGAGACCAGGAACAGGACCAGGACTGAGACCGGGACTGAGACCAAGACCAGACCGGGACCACACTGGGACTGAGACCGGGACCACACCGGGACCAGACAAGGACTGAGTCTGGGACCAGGACCAGGATTGAGACCGGGACTGAGACTGGAATTAGACCAGAACTGAGACCAGGATTGAGACTGGGAACAGCACCAGGACTGAGACCGGGACTGAGACGGGGACCGAGACCAGGACTGAGGCCAGGACCAGAACGGGACCAGACCAGGACTGAGAACAGGACTGAGACTGGGACAGTCCTGGTTCAGTCCTGGTTCAGTCCTGGTTCAGTTCGTATGTGGCGCAAAAGTCCAGCATCACAGTCATGTAAACGGTAAACGTTACCTGTTTTTTCCATTCTTCATTTAAACACAAAATCAAAAACTGAAAAACGAATCATTATGTGTTTTTTCATTTTGGTTTTGGAGACGAATAATGAAGTAAATAGTTATTTTTTCGTTTTCTTATTTTTGCTTTTATATTGAAAAACAAATGAACGAATGATACAGAATGACACAGATTGGTTACAGTAATAATATTTCAAGTACAGCTCTAGACTGTATACAGACGGGAACCCAAACCAAAGATAAACATAAGACCACAAAAGATAAATAAACTCTAAACACTTCACAGTAGTGACATCGCACCGGGGGTCTTCTGTATCTCTGTGGTGGAATGTTGAGTATTCAGTTACCATAGTGACACAATGCACACATTAGGAAACACTGCTGAAAAAGTTTTAAGTTCGTCTGAAATGATCTTGTTTGTTTGATTTTCAATAAAAAGGTGAAAACACGTTTGGTTGTTTTTTTTTTTTTTGGGGGGGGGGGGGTTATCAAAATTAGGCCCTACATTCTCACATTTTCTTTATCATCAATTTGCATCAGATTTTATCCCAATTTCTCCCAATTTGGTCGTCAATTACACCCAACCTATTATCCAGCAGCAGATGTAATGTAGAGGTCATGGTGCAAAGGATCCTAGGTTGAAATGATTCTGAATCATCCCTTTAAATGTGGTATAAAAATAAAAATGACTTGACTTAGAGTTTCATTTTGAGAAAAATCTTAGAAATGAGAGAACATGGAGCTGTGGGAAAATAGGGCTGACCCCGTTTTGGGAGCGAGAGACAGCACAAATCATTTCACTTTTTGTAGTTCCAACTAAGTCAGGTCTTTCTGGTTAGATTGTGTTAAAATAGAGATTAAATTAAGATTAAAGTTTAATATAGCTTCTGACAGAGCTGTGCCTACAGTTAGCGTCACAGCCCCAAACATAGAGTAAAGTGTAACTGCGCAAACACAGATAATCTACTTTTACAACAAGCAATTTCCATGTAATTTCTGAGTGAGTGACAGTCATATTCAGCCAATCACAATCAAGTGTGAACGTTGAGAAAAATAGTCCACGAATCCTAATCTTTCATCGTAACACTTTCAGAAACCAGAGTGGATGTTTTGTAAATTCCCTCAGTCGTCCAGGTAGTATCTAGGTTAATTTCTCTCCAGCAACTAGGTCAGGAATCGGAATACACTAGACAAAAACCCCGGAAGTGCGAGTTCGGGCACCAGCCAATCAACGAAGAGCCATATATTCTGTGTTGGCAACTGTGGCAGATCTTTAGGCACAAAAAACCATTCAGGTCGTCTCTTCCACAGGGGATATTTATTATGAAGCCACACAAAAAAATTGAACCGGCTTCAACAGTCCCCGCTCTCATCCCATGCCCAGCTGCGGTAAAAACACACTCCAGTCTAGTTCAAGGCACACGTACGAAAACCAGTGGGGGGCGTTCAAATGCACCTCGTAAAAACAACAATGCTCAGAATTTAAAATAATAACACCATAAAAACAATAGGGGGTGTCAGGGAACCTCAAAATAATTAAAGTTTACATTAATTCACAATCATGTATAACTGTGAATTAATTATTCAAGTCTCTCACACAACGATTCTCAAGATTAAAGCTGGAATAAAGAGAATGTTTGGTGAATTTTATCAAGGGGAAAAATGTTATTGCCCTTCTTCCTACGGGATTTGTGAAAAGCTTAATATACCAGTTAACCCCGTTAGTGGTGCATTACATACGTCACAAGCAGTGTTGGGGAGTAACAGATTACATGTACCGGCGTTATGTAATCAGAGTACAAATTATGAGTGACTGTATTCAGTTACAGTTACTCTTTCCATAAGTGGTAACTGGATTACAGTTACTTTGTTGAAATAAATGGATTACATGGCGGTATTTTCCTGTTTTCACATTTTGGGGTAAACCAGGACTAAAACCAGGACAAAACTAGGACTAAAACCAGGACTAAAACCAGAACTAAAACCAGGACTAAACCAGGTCTAAGGCTAGGACTAAACCAGGACTAAACCAGGTCTAAACCAGGTCTATACCAGAACTAAAACCAGGACTAAACCAGGTCTAAAACCAGGACTAAACCAGGACTAAACCAGGTCTAAACCAGAACTAAAACCAGGACTAAACTAGGACTAAAACCATGACTAAAACCAGGACTAAACCAGGTCTAAACCAGGTTTAAACCAGAACTAAAACCAGGACTAAAACCAGCACTAAACCAGGACTAAACAAGGACTAAACCAGGTCTAAAACCAGGACTAAACTAATACAGTACGACACTAACAATAGGGTGGACATAATTTAAGTCAGCACTGATCTCATATAGAAAGCATTTCTCTATCAATAATATTTTTAATACGGTTAAATAAAGACTGAACAAACAAAACTTTTCAGGATGTGGTTGCTACATTCATATAGTTTAAAAAAAAACATGACAATATCAAGTAATCCAAAGTATTCCGATTACGTTACTCACTTAAAGTAATTTATTGGATTATGTTACAAACTACATTTTGAGGTATGTAATCTGTAATCTGTAGGGGAATACATTTTAAAAGTAACCTTCCCAACACTGGTCACAAGTAAACAGCAGCGATTGGTTAAATGAAAAACAGTACCCGCATACCGTCAAGTGAACAAATTCTAACACTGTGAGGTCAGACGGTTTCCACGAAGTGAAACTGGCTGATGAATCAGGCTAGATAATATCTACAGCAAAGGAGGAATTCAATTTGTCAGCTGGACAAAAGTTTAAAAGCTGCTGCTGGGAAGAACTGAAGAAGCAGTTTGGATGAGCTGTGGAACGTATTTGACCTAAATAAACTTTTGTCCTGTTGACAAAATAAAATTTTCCTTTGACGCAAACCAGAGTGGAGTTTTCCCGTCATGGTAATACTGTATTACTAACAATAAACACACCAGCTACGTCTGTCACCATAATACATTTAGAATAAATAATAATACTGAAACTACTTTATGCCACTGACACAATAATAACACTAGAGCAAAACATTTTTAAATAGACACAGTGACAGATACAGGACTACATTCATACCATACTCCCTACAACTGTACAACTCACTTTTATGTAACAAATAATACTCCCTACAACTGTACAACAACTCAGCCTTATGTAACTGATAATACTCCCTACAACTGTACAACTCACTTTTATGTAACAAATAATACTCCCTACAACTGTACAACAACTCAGCCTTATGTAACTGATAATACTCCCTACAACTGTACAACTCACTTTTATATAACAAATAATACTCCCTACAACTGTACAACAACTCAGCCTTATGTAACTGATAATACTCCCTACAACTGTACAACAACTCACCTTTATGTAACAAATAATACTCCCTACAACTGTACAACAACTCACGCTTATGTAACAGATAATACTCCCTACAACTGTACAACAACTCAGCCTTATGTAACTGATAATACTCCCTACAACTGTACAACTCACTTTTATGTAACAAATAATACTCCCTACAACTGTACAACAACTCAGCCTTATGTAACTGATAATACTCCCTACAACTGTACAACTCACTTTTATGTAACAAATAATACTCCCTACAACTGTACAACAACTCAGCCTTATGTAACTGATAATACTCCCTACAACTGTACAACAATTCACCTTTATGTAACAATAATACTCCCTACAACTGTACAACAACTCACGCTTATGTAACAGATAATACTCCCTACAACTGTACAACAACTCACACTTATGTAACAAATAATACTCCCTACAACTATACAACTCACATTTATGTAACAAATAATAATCCCTTCAACTGTACAACAACTCA